AGGGAAAGGAGGCTGGCTGCCACAGCGCGGGCTGCTGCAAACGAGAGCAAGGCAGACCAGCGGGAGACGTAAGCGGCCGTAGCACCCGACCGCAAGACATGCGGGGGCGAACGGGCACGGCTCCGAGCGAGCATCCGGACGAATTGGGCCGCCTCCGAACTCCACCGGCCACCGAGCTGTCTTTTCTACTGCACGCACAACACGTGCTTCAACCTCACCCATACCATGTGCAATCTTTTCCCTCATCATGCTCCGCCAAATGGCTATGGTAGCAGCACTCATTTCCACTTGGTTGCCTGTGCCGCTGCTGTTTGCTGAGATTGCCATGAGGCATTGCAAGCTCAAGTGCCTCAGACGTTGTTTCGGGTTTTGTCTTAGCTATGGTATTGGCCTCCCTGTCTGGAGTCCCTTGTGGCGCCGCTCTTTTGCTGCAAGGATTCATGTCCGCATCTTTGAAATTAAGAAATTCCTTTTCAAAATCAGCGCTGAGGTCCTGCCACGGTGCTCCCAATTTGCATGACTTTGCATGCATCACCAACCGTTGTAGCTTTTTTTACTTGTCATATCGGTCCCTTGTTTTTGATCCGACTTTCTTTCTTCGGATTTGCCTCACAAAATGTGATTTCTGTGCCATCCGTCTTCAACAACTGTGTCTGTTCCGCTGACAACGGCATATTCAAGTCAAGCAAAGATGGGAATGTCTCACTTATCACGAGCAGTGACGGCTCTGAACACCATGCAGCATGCTATGGCTGGGATTTGAGCCAAAATGGCTTGAGCCAAGGATTCAAGACATTCCTATTCACTTTGCACTAGAGCTCCAAAAGCCCCAAGGATTTTTGATAGAGATTCAACACATTCCTGTTCAGTTTGTACACTACCGAGTGCACCAAGGCATCCCTTGCGACTGCATGCGTGTTTTTTTTGTTCCTCGGGACCTTTTTGCATGCATGTTTTTTGCCGCAGTCAGACCCCGATGTCATAACAAAAGCAAACAAACCGTCCTTCCAGCACAAAACAGCGCCCTCCAGCATGGGATGCTTGCATGGGGGTAGATTTGGTTTGCGGCCGACGCACGCAGCAAACGCACTACCCGTAAACGCTGGCATGTCGTCTAGTTTGTGTCGTGGCTTTCTTGTCAAGTCCGCGGCCCTTGATTTTTTCAGGTCTATACAATCGACGTACCTTTTTAGGCCAATCCGCAGTCCCAGTGCAGGGCGTGGCCGGAAGCCCTAGTGCCCTAGTCCAAGGCAAACCGGCGGCAGGATGCGCTGGACGATGCGGTGGGCAGTCCCCGCATCCATCGTCTTGCCAGAGGAACGTGGATGCCTGGCCGTGGAACAGCCTCACGAATGGCAGGATGGCACTTGCAAGCCGGCACCAGGCTGGGAGGCTACTGAGGCTGCCCCGCAGGATGACGATCCCAATGAACTCTTGCGGGGCTGGCAGCGGAGCGGCCGAGGCCTGTGACGAGCGCGCGTTTGAGATGCACCTTGCTGACTTCGACACGGCATGTAGAGCGCTGCTGCTCTCAGGCTGGGCCGCGTTCGTCCTGAGTGTTCACTGCGCGGCCCACGTCCGCACAACTCACAATCCAGCCGGCGCAGTTCCTTCCGTGTGCTGCTGTTGCGCCGCATGCGCATGCGCCTCCCTCTTGCTCTGCGAACATGCCATTGCCGAGGGCGCCTTGAGTCGCTCGGAGATCACCGTGCGGCATGCGCGACCTCTGGATTCCTAGCCGCCCGCGTGTTACCATTTGAGCGTGCAGTGGCTCGTGTCTGTCGGGAGGGGCCAAGGTCTGCCACAATGCTCGTATGTCAGATATGAACATCCATGTCCGCGTGGCAGATGCCCGTCGGAAATATACATGCAGGCGAAGGCAGTGCGTAAAATACCGATAGTTGGGGTCAACAAAAATTTTATGGTTGACAAGGTGGCGGGTGCATGTTGATTATCCACATCTGTAACATGAGTTTGAAAGTTTGCGTCGCCGTCTCTTGGAATGTCACGTTCGGACGCCTCCAACTATTCAACGATCGCTGCATTCAAGTGCACAACAGATCGCAACATGCAGCCACGGCACCGTGCTGCGCGCGACACTACGACACCGCACTGCAGGCCACCCTCGTCGTGCTGCTGGGCGGCCCCAGATGGCCCGGCCCACAACAACATGCGGACTCGGAAGGAGTGCGGACCACGGCCATGCATCCCGTGTCCATGGGCCTGTGTCGTCGCATGTTGTCGATCTTTCTCTGAACCGGCAACTTGCAATCCTTTGCACGTGGCAAAATCAAGGCATGTGATGTTTGATGGCCGCGGGTTTTCAAATAGAGCATGATTTCAACATTTCTCTGCCAAAGAAAAAGCCTTGCACCCATCCTGCATGAGAAGAAAACCTCACTGTGCTGGCTGAATGCAGCCAAGCTTGCGGCTGCAAAATCTCCATGACAGTATCCCCGGCCGCATGACCAAAACTTCGTACGTATTCAACTCTACATGCCAAAGATAAATTGTTTCATTCTCAAATCACCGGGTTGCAGGGGTGGAACCGCCTTTCCCAAGCTGGAGCAACACAACTTGACAAATGGCATCGTTACAAAATGTGTGACGCATAGGTGTCGGAGCCCTCCGGAAATCAATTTGCGAGATGATTGATGCTCGCAGGCAACGTCTGGCATCGTCTGCAAGGGCAGCCCTTTGCCGCATGCGTCCCAACCCAACATCTGGGCGAGGCGGCGCGAAACTCATGCATAACGCACCGCCGCAACAAAAAAAAACTGCGGTATTGGACAATACGAGTACATAACAAAACGGAGCCCGGAGTGCAGGCACAGAATAGAACAGCAAAAGCTACACGACTTGGTCTGGGAGCTGGAGGGTTTGGAGGGCGTACTGACACTGTTCAGCTGCACAGCTGTGCGCAACAGGGGGGGGGGGTGCCATGGCGGCTTGCCAACCATTCTCCAAGTGCTCGCGCACAAGCAACTCATACGCATCAAACGTATCATTGCCTAGCCTCCCGGAAGCGTCACCGGGCAACTAAAATGCCAGCTTGATTCCTGCAAACGTGGGGGGCCTGTAGACCAGGCCACCCAAAAAAGTGGGCTGCGTGAGTGTAGGTCCCGTCTTGCACTTGCGCGACGCGGCAGTTTTGTTTTTTAAGTGTTATGGGAGCTTCGAATTGAAGCTACCAAAACTCAGCGGTTGCGAAGGATGATTGCCCAAACCCTGCACAAGGCCATAATCCACACAACATGCCGAACCGACGAAGCGTGGCCAAAGTCAAAGGCGGCAATGACTTGGGGAAGACGGCTGGCCCCCGGTGGCCATCTGATCAACAAGGAGCTCACTGAGCAGCGGCACAGCGAGGCAGCTGGGACAAATCAAAAGCAGGTTGAGAACCACATGCCACCATCGTCCACGGCCAAGGTGCAAGCAGCACAGGACAGGGTTGCCTGCATGGGCATCGTGCCAACCAGTGAAGGAAGGTCTTGGCCTTCGACCTCTGTCAGTTCCCAAGCCCAGTGCCAAGCACACGGAAATGGAAGCACCTGTCCAGACTAGGTTGTCAGCATGCAGAGGCTGACTGAACCAAAAGCTTGTCGCTTCACTTTCAATGCGGTAAGGTGGAGGATTGGTTTAGGACCCTGGAGTCACCACCTTCAAACAACCAAACCATCTGCAGCTTTCTAGCCAAATTCAAAGTTTCAACTACGGTGTTTGAGCATGCTCCTGGTTTGGGCTCGCGGTCAACACCTATATTTCGAGGCCTTTTCAACAAACTCGACGTCAAAATGCTCCAAACCTTTCAAGTGCACTTTGCTCCTGGCTGATCTCCTCCCCTAATCATGAAAACCCCCTACCCTTTCAAAAGCGAATCTAAAGCCAGTTGGGACTGCACGCCATACAGACCACCATGTCGGATTAGGTAGTTAGAAATTGCCCAGAACTCTGAAGACGCAAGAGTTCAAGAGGTTATATAAACCGTATCTTCATACCAAAGCTCCACAAGTGGTTTTTTGGTCGCGGACATTTTCCCCGCCAGATTGGTCATTCCATGGGTGCAGAATGCACAGGCTCAGCTGAGTCTGGCTGAGCCGAGCCCGGCTGTGAGTCAGGCCCAGAGGCGGAGATGTCAGCTGACTCCGCGGCAGGTGGCGGACGAACGGTCACACGGAGGGCCTGCATGGCGCTACATGCACCATAAGTGAGCACTGCTGTTGCTATAAATGGCTTGCTAGTACAGACCATACAACGCAAATCGAGTGCAAGCAAGCTTTGAGTGTTTCCACCTTCGTATCCTCCTCGATGTCGAGGCGGTGTGCCTTCAGCCTCACAGACAACACTACGCGCCTGGCTCCGCAGATGGCAAATTCAAAGTTTGGGCTCAACTGAATCGAGACCCTCCCCCTGACCCCGTTATGCACTCTTGCATCCGAGCATCTTTTGGAGTACCATCCTTGTCGGCGCTACCATGAACTTCACCTGGCAGAGTGTCGGGGCATCAGAAGTCAAAGCAGACTTCAACAGCAAGCGTCCCCACTGTAAGTCTGCACCTGCCTGTTGCCTCTGCTGGTCGCCATTCTCAGAGGCGCGAGGGATGGCCAGCACGACCGTCTGGCATGAACATGGGGAAGGTTTCAATTGTGACGCCACCGCACTGAAGAAAAGTGTTGCTTTGCCAGAGGTAGTCTGAGCCTTGCCCTCGCCGATCTCATCAGCTTGCTGGAAACCTGGGCATCGCAAGATATCGCAAAGACAACGACTGCAGGCGTTTAATTGCTAGCTGCAAAAGACGATAGCCACTGGCAGTGATGTGGGGCTTTGCCGCGATGCGCATAATTGATCTCCCCACCCGCCCAAGATGATAAAGTCCACTGCATCATACCGAAGGAATGTCTATCTACATAGGAACGTGGGTGTGTCCAAATGTATACATAAATATATATGTATATGTGTGTGTGTGTGTGCGTGTGTGTATGTGTGTATATAACTTTCCTGCCTACATATATGTATATACCTACGTACATGTGTACATACATACGTGTATGTGTGTATATATATATATATGCTTTTGCGTCTATATGTATGTATGCATATAACCATAAACATGTAGAATATATATATATACATATATATATATATGTTGGGTGAGGCGTTAATAGAATTAGGGAGAGGATTCTTCTATGAAACCCTAGACTCTAAACCCTGCTCGGCTCAAGGCCTCCTCGGTTGCTCCAGAAATACTGCTGCTGCATGTCGTAAGCATCGGCCTGAGGGTTTAGGGTTGGGTTTTATATTGGTTTTATGCAGGGATAATACATGTTGGGGTTTTATGTTGGGGGTAAGCCATAGTCCGTACTCCTAGTATCCCCCATATAACCCCCTATGAGGAGTTTAGACTATAGTTCATATTATTGGGATAATGGAAAAGAAAATGGAAACTACAAAAGGGTTCAGGGTTTAGGGATTGGGGGCTTTGTCTTTCCAAGGTTAAATACGGAAAGGAAATTGGAAACTACTATGCTTTTTAGGGTTTAGATTGTGTAGGGACATGAAGTGGGATAATCACCCAACAATGGAGAATGAATTTGAGAAGAAAATGGCAAATCAGCATGAAATTGAAGCCGGGATTGCGTAGGGATTTGGGGTCGGGGTGGCTGGGTGGGCATGTTATGGGGCGGCGGCGTTGTGGTTGAAAACTAGCTGTTACGAGAGACTGTTGGTTATTACCTCGTTACATCTTTGGCATTTCCCTACCTTCGCTTTTCTATCAGAAGTATTTGGGAGTTTCTAAGAGGCGGTTAGGGACCCAGGGGGTTTCAACTTAATTATGGATCCTCTTGGATTATGTTGAGGCCCTGCCATTTACGCTGATCTCATCTGGCTGTTGTCAAAGAAGAGCTTGCTCAAGCACATGCGCAGTTCTTAGTGCCTTGGAGTCGCTTGCGGCAACCGAAACCGAAATATGCTGCCCTTATGCGCTAGAGATCTCACTATCACAGGCCCCCGCTGCCTCATCCGCCACCTGGATCTTCTACCCCCACCAGAAAGCATGAATCCCGCTGAGCAAGATACATCTCCAGCACGAGGCTTGAAAAGGCCTTGGAAACTCATGGGGTTGACAGGCTACTGGTAGGAGCTTCTGGAAGGATTTGGGGAATGCAAGCTGCTCCCTTGACTGCCCAAACTTGGAGACGGACTGAAGCAAGTCGTCCGTGGGTCCGGAGCAGATCTGGCCAGGCTCCAGACGACCCCACTTTGGCAATCCCACAGAAGTTTTGGAAACTTCCGCATCAAGGTAAGTGGAGATCTTCACAGGGTCAGAGCTGACACTAAGCCCTTCCCCACACTAACACCATATCATATCAGCATTCGCCAAATCCAAGTGTAATCCCATGCCACAAACAAATTGCAGGAGGTGCATCGCTTTTATGTCTGCCTGCGCTACTGATGTGTAAAGAAAGTCATGTTCGATTTCTCAACTGAATCATGTACGCCTCATGCATGTAAGGCATCTTTTTTTGGGGGGGGGAAGAGTTTATCGCTCTTGCTTATCTCGGGCATATTCAGCTCTTCACGTCAGTGTGTCATTTTCCGAATACGACGTGACTTTTACAGACGGCTGAAGGCGAAATTGAGGATGGAAGCATGTGTATAGATATATATGATATGTATACAATGTATACATATGCCCAGATTCTACCAGCACTTCATATCATGCACACGCGCCTGCATGTATGTGCAGGTGACAGATGTGCATGCCGACATGCGCCTGAGAAGGAGATCGTTCCGCTGAATTGCTTGTCCCTTTGGCTGCTCGTCGAACGCGACCTGAACATACCTGCCAGCTCAAGCTACGAAAACACTCATTCCGCTCGAGAGGGGCATCCCTCCTGTGCAGCCTTCCTCTTCATCCCCTCTCGCAGGCCCCAACTCTGAGAGAGCGAGAGAGAGAGAGAGAGAGAGAGAGAGTACGTGGCTGATAGCCCCTGGCCCCATGACTGAAGCCGAATTACTTAACATTAATTGACCTGCAGGTTTGCTCGGCGCTCTAATGCCTTACTCACTCTCAGGATCCCAATGATCGAAGAATCCCTAAAGGCCTCCAAACGATACAATCCTTATCGTCTTCCTCACGCGAGCCTGCCATCCGTGTAAACCATCCCCAGGCCCAAGCCCGTAGAGAATGTTGATGTCCATCCAATTTTCCATTTGGTTCTCCATTACTTGGGCAAGAATCTCTATATACCCCTATTTAACCCTTCGTAATATTGTGGGTTCACCCTAAACCCTAAAACCTAAACCCACTTCCTTTCACTTTTCCATTCCCCGAATAATCCCCTCCATGTCTACAGAAAAGGCAATGGCCTGTTCGACCAGAGGTGAACATCGGGCACTACTTGCATGACCTCAGGCTGGCTTGTAAGTTTTGGGGATGTAGGGATTACATAGGGTTTAGGTTTTAAGGCTTGAAATTTCGGGGATGTAGGGATCATATCGGGTTAAGGGTTTGGGGTATAGGGCTTGTACTTTTGGGGGGCTGTAGGGATTATATTGCAATTAAAAAAAGCTTAGGGTTTAGGGCCTTTAGGGTTTGAGCAGGGTAGAGTGCTTGGAAGGGGCACTCAGGATGTCGTGGTCGATGGAGCGGAAAGCTTTCGGTCACAACGTCCCTGCAAGAGGTTTGAGGGCCCGGGTGAAGACGACGGCCAAGATGAGCAGCAGCCAGAGCAGGGGACCGCCGAGTTCAATGAGAGCATCATAGCGGGCTGTGAGGCTGGAATTGGTGATCCATGGGAAGGTTCTGCACGCGGGCTTTTGAGTCTGGAAGCGGTAAGTGCTTTTGTCTGCAAGCCTTTGGTGAGGGTCTTGCTGCGCCTCTTGTTTTGGGTCAGTTCTCATACGAGATCCTGTCCTTGATGTCGTAGAATAGCCTCACCACTTTTTTGTGCGTCCTTACTCCATAGCCTCCTGGAGAATTTACCTGTCCCATTTTTGTGCAATGGAGGCTTCGTGAGCTCGTCGACGTTCCAGTTCCGCCTTGGCATCTTCTTCGTGGTTTCCTTCCTTGATCATGAATTCTCCCATAACTCCACAAATGTCTGCGAGTCCGGCTCGAACTGGTCGTCCTCACCATAGCCCTTGACCGTGAGGAAGCCACGCAGGATGTTCCAATGATCTCTCCCTTTTTTTTTCTCGGACCTTTTCTCCTCAGCTTAAACCCCTCGAAGATGCCTGATTGGCACGGCCCCAACAAGCTGGGCCCAAAGGCTCAAGCAGTTTGGGAAAAAGGAGGCGGTTTAAGGCTTAGGGTTTAGGGTTTGGGGCTTGTAATTTTCGGGGTGTAGGGATCTTTTTTTTACAACCCCGACGGCCTTTTTTATCTTGGGTTTTAAGCTTAGGGCTTTGGGTTTAGGGCTGTAATTTTGGGCGATGCAGGGATTATATTGGGTTTAGGGTTGGGGTTTAGGGTTTAGGGCTTGCAATATTAGCGAGATTTAGGGATTGTTTTGGTTTCATGTTTAGGGTTTAAGGTTGGGCAGGGACTATATAGGGGTGTATACGAATAAATAGGGGCCTAAATGCATAGGGTTTCCGAGAATTAAGGGCTCTTTTTGGGATTTTCTTACAATTGGGATTGCTGTAAATCAGGGCCTATACTGGGTACGCAGCGATATTGCGCACGCTGATACATGAAGACACCAGATCTCATCAGTTCTTTTACGTGGGTTTGGTGAAGCTTTCAGAATCGTGGTCCGTTGGTGGAGGAATCTGTGAGGAGGAAGGCGGCGGGGTGAATGGGGACCCCTCTACATTCACATGCAAGCCAAAAGAAGAACAGATTCCCAAAACCCTACAGCGAATCCTAAAGCCTTTATCCATATCTAAACCCCAAACCCCAAGCCTGGATTCTGAGTGCTGGGCGCGCTTTGGCTTCAGGTGTGGTTTTGTAGGATGCACCGGCTCCTGACAAACCAGATCAAGGCTGCGGTATCACGGAACATTAAACAGCCATTTACCCCCAAAGGAAACGGCCCTCCAGTGTCTGAGAGGAAACGTTGTAGACGCGCATGTGGGCATGTGCAATTCCGCAAACTGCGAGCTTTCGCTACCTTCTGAAGTCCCGCCTCCTTGGCAGCCTGGAAGGTCCTGCCAATCTTCTGGGCCACTTCCTTCACCCAGACACAAATAAGATTTCGAAGGTTCTACGCGGCTTCCGAAGAAGATAGCTGCCAGTACTCTGCCCGCCTCCTTGCTCTTGAAGCCAGGAGGATCGCGGTAAATCTTTTTCTCAGCAGCATTCCTTCCTGACAAATTTGTGCAAGCTGCGGGTTCCTTTTGGTTACAATAACAATTTAGTAATTCGAATCAGAACAGTACTAACGGTAATCAATAAGAACAGTGATAGTGATAAAAAGACTACTCGCAATACCAAATAGTAGTAACAACAGTGAAATAACAGTAATATTGCGCGATGAGCCCACAATGCCTGTTGTGAAGCGCTGACGCTCAGTGAACACGTCCTTGGCGCGTAAGCTTACAGCTGCACTGCTTTGAACTTGCTTGAACTTGCACACCTCTAGAAATGGATGTGGTGGTTTAGGCGAACTTGCCAAGTCTCGTTGGTGATCAGCTGCGGCAGCTGCAAGCCGAAGGCCTTCGCACGCCGTGGCATGCTTCAGACATCGCGGATTTTCATTGCTACGTTTCTGGCCTGGCGGTGGTATGCCTCCGTGGGCTCTTTCAATCGCGCGAACCTTGCCCAGAGTTTGACAAGCATGTTTCAGCGATGCCGGGGAGCTTCACTGGGATTCGCTGGGCTCCACGGCTTCTTGGCTCGCTCCACTTCTTCTGGCACCTGGTTGCGAGCACAGCAAACAGTCAGAACAGTAAGAGGGGAGCGAACTCAGTTTGGCAGCCAAGGCGCGTCATCGTCATCCAAGAGCTGCGCATCTATTGGGGGAGGAGGTGGTGCCATTGATCCTTAGAGAAGGCAGGGAACACCCGCACAATGTCCCTTCACCGCAACAGGCTCCGTACCTTGCTCCGGCTCCTGCATTGCAGAATGGAATCCAGGAATGCACACACAATTCGGTTCCCATATGCATTGAAGCTTCATGCAAGCCTTGCCGTAGGCATCATCATCCAAGATGTTGACTCGCGACCTTGCAAGAACCATGGCAGCCAAACAGTGGCCATTGTTCTGAGTGCCCACGAACATGAAAATGAGGCAAGCGCAGCAGTGTCCGGTTCGAAAGCAAGCATGGCCTGCAAAGGCTTCAGCTCAAACAAGCATTGCTTCACCAGAAGGCGAGTTGCCTTACCTGTAGCATGCCTGCGCGCCTCAGCTTGCTGTCCAGGGAGTCCCTGCGGTACATGCACAACCTCAGGGCAGGAAGCCGACAAGAAGTCATGTCATAACATGACAGAATGCAATCAAAAAATGAATCTATCATTTTTTGTTGTATCTGCTGTCAGGTCCCAAGGCCCAGGCTCATCCATATCAGGGAGTATCTTCAACAGCTTCGGGACGTGTGGCAGTGGCAGCTTGTTCCGGTACTGCCCATCCTGATGGCAGCATCGCCGAGGCCAGGCCAAAGTGCATATGCAGATTGTTGTCCTTATATTGTTCTTGCGATTATCATTATTTGTTTTCTTACTAGCATTACTATTATGATATTAGCTGTTAATGTTGTTTTTGAGATGTTGATTTCCAGTATTTGTCTTTATCGTGATTATTATTGTTGTTAATGTTCTTATTATTGTTTTTATTCATCTTACATATACTGCTGATGTTCATATTGCTGGTACGACCATATTGCTAATGCTAATGGCACGACTCTTATTGACACAATTGTTACGGTCCTTACATGTCACTACTATGTTTTCATTACTAGTATATCAATATATGCCTAGCATAGGTCCCCCTTAAACCCTATATATTCCCCTACAGGTCCCCCCCAACCTAACCTTAGTCCGTAGCTCACGTTATCATTGGGGTCTCAGGAGGGATCCGTCAGCAGAGACGGCCGCTCGTCCTCCTCCTCTCCCTGACACAAGGAGCCAGAAAGCTTGGAGTCTCAAAGAAATATTAGTAGCTGTACATTTATTGATGATTTAACTGATACGATGCTTGGGCGATTGTTGTTACAAGTTATATTGCTTTGGTATTGTTTCTACTATGAACAGCATTATGATTCAATTATGATTGTTGTTTTTGTCCGCAGCCTGTGTCTCCGATCGCTTCCGCTTGAAAGTGAACTGGCCTGAGAACATCTCAGAACTCAACCTGGTCGAAGCCCACTGCATGAACTTCCCGCCAGGTCAACTTGGGTTGCTGCGGATTTTGGGTGGCTCTTTTTCCTCGAACTTCTGCATGGCTTCATCAGCTGGTGGTAGGGAACTCCAGTGCTTGCTTTATGGGTATCTTGCAAAGTGTAGTAGACGCAAATGGACCTTGACTCGCTTGCACCTGCAAGCGCATAACTTCAGCAAACTGTGCTCAGCAGTGTCTTGAAGGAAGACTTGGCACTGTCTTCGGCCAGGGCAAAGCAGATTTCAGATGCTTCAAATAACTCAGAATGCACCAGAAAAAAACTCCTCCAGGCCCTCAGCACCGCTGCACATTTTTCTTCCCACGCTGGAACCACTGACTTGGCGCCCGATATGCCAAACGGCCTCAAGATGCCAGCAAACGTCAGTGAAGAGGTAGCACAGGCACCAGAACTGCCTGCATTGCCTGCCTTCTTTGCTGGACTTTGCAAGCTCAAGGAAGGCATCACGTGGACCTGTCCCGACATTGTGAGGGAGGTATTACTGTCACACCCACCGCGCTAAGACCACAGCACTGCGGCACATCGGCAAGGAGGCGCTTGTGATCGTCTGAGGAAATGCTGTTGCGGCCTTGCAAATCCCGCGCATATTCTACAAAGACTGCCAGAAGGAGCACTCTACCTGCAAACCTGTGCGATCTGAGCACTCTGCGGCGGTACGCCGCCACTCCCTCGGCCACCCCGGGCTGCTTCGCCTTCAACGGTCTAGATTTCAGGTATGTTTTCAGGTTCAAGAGAGTTTAGGTTTAAGGGGGGTTCGAGCAACCAATGCATTACTACTCTAAGCTATTACTACTATTATCATTAAATCTATTGAAATTACTGTGAACTCAAATTCAGGCATTCAAATCAGCAACCCTTAGCCCTCCAAACTTCTCAGGACCAAGCCATGGGACAGGCCACCTCCAAGACGGCCTCCCGGCAACAGGGCTGGGGGGTTCTCAAATTTAGGGAGAGGGTACCTTGAAAGGGGGATTATAGGGGATACATAGGGGTTCTGCAGGGGGATATAGGGTTCAGGCGCTCCCAAAATCAGGGATACCTTTTCGGGGGTCTCTAGAAGACGGATTATGGGAGTCCATTTTGTACACATCATATCTTGGTAAGGGACGTCTGCACAGTTTTCGACAACAATCCTCTTCAGCGACGATAAAGTCTTTGGGCCGCGATAGTCTCAGCAAATAGAAGCTTATTGGATGAACGGGCTTGAGAATCTCACATGGCACAGACGTGATGTGGGAGAAAGAACAAAGTATGAGCACCCGGCCTTGTACCGACGATCTTCCAACGCCTTCCAGCTTCCAACAGGAACAACGTGCGAGTGCATGGAACTTGGGGACGAGGTCTGGACGCAAGGCGCTTTCTGAAGGGCACTCAAAATACAGCTACTTCAACAGATCTGTTTGTCCCTCATTCAATCCCTATGGTAGAGACGCTTCCTTTTCATTTTCCTTGCTACTATCCTTTTGCTTTTCGTAGTTGAAGTAATACTCCTCAATCACCCTGGTGTTAGGAACACCCCTTCACCCTCCAGCCTCGCCCAGGACGCAGCCTTCCTGGACACAGACTGGAAGCGATTTCCGGTGTGTTGTCACCACCCTGTCAACTAGCACAAAGACAATACCAGGAAGACTATAAATGCTACTAGTATTGTGCTTTATGGAACGAATTACACGTCACTGGCACTGTGCATCTCGCCCCTATTCTTTTTCGAACAATCAAGCGCCGAGCCTTAGCAAGGAGGCTCGAGGAGACGAGTCGGATGATGGGCTTCTGAAGGTCTGGCCGCCGCTTCAGCAGCGTCTGCACCTGAGCTGCTCAGATCTCCTTGAACTCGCTAACTCGCAGATTGCGCAAAAGATCAAAAGCGAGTTGTGAATGATGCTGGTATGCGCTGGTAGCAGCACTACCAGAGCTATGATGACAACAATATCGCTAACAGCGGCGATAACGGCAGCGACCCGACCGCGACACCACCTTCAACCATCTTCGTTGTCCTGGTATTGCAGGTGATCGTCATCCGCATCATCTCACCACCACCTCCGCCACCGCCACCGCCACCGCCACCGCCACCGCCACCGCCACCGCCACCGCCACCACCGCCGCCGCCGCTGCCGCCACCACCACCACCACCACCACCACCACAATTGTGGTGGGAAGCAAAGTGTCATGCAAGTTGAAAGCTACTGATAATTTGATTAATATGGAAAAAAAGAAGCAACAACTTGTACCACCACTTTGACAACAATCGTTAACCATGGAGATGTGCGGCCTCTGTCACGGGGAGGGCCAAGCAGCGAACTCGATCACGCACAGTGACCTTCGAGTTACTGCTCGTGGTGAGCAACGATTTATGCAGCTGGTATCATCTGTTACTCATGAGCGCGGCTACAGTCCTCGCTGCCTTCGTGGGCAACAGACAGCCGTCGCTCGACTGTGTTCTCGGGGGCTTGGACTGCGTGTCCAACAAATAGCCGACCAAGCAGCGAACTCGATCACGCACAGCGACCTTCGAGTTACTGCTCGTGGTGGGCAATGATTTATGCAGCTGGTATCATCTGTTACTCATGAGCGCGGCTACAGTTCGTGTTGCCTGCGTGGGCAACGGCTGCGTGTCCAACAAGTAGCCGACCTCCAGCTGGTTGCGCCAAAGTGCTCCAGGCAAGATTTTTTTCTTTGCGCCCACCTCTCCCACCACACTTCCTGGTTTTAGCAGCGTGATGAGGCGTCCAGCAGCGGAGACCTGGACATCGCACTGTGCCAGTCCAAACGTCTGTCAGACAAGGATCGGGCCAGGCACCACATTACTCATTACAAACCATGCTGGTTGTCAGTCTTGCTGGTTGTCAGTAGGGAATTAGGGCATATATTCTACAGGGTTTATAGAAGGATTATTATGTTCCAATTTTTCCTACTAACAACCAGTAGGCATTCTACAGTGCCAAGGCAAAAATTCTCCCCTAAACCCTAAACCCTAAACCCTAAACCCTAAACGCTAAATCACAGCATTGCAAGTCCGCGCCTCGCAGCAGCCTTCAGCAAGAAGGTACAAGCACTGCTCCTGTCACAGCATGGGCATGGCCTGGAATCCACAGACTACACTTAAAGGAGCCTGTGAAATGGTAGGATTATAGTTTGCACCCTAAACCCTCAACCCCAAACCCCCAACCCTAAACCCTGGACAGTTGCTCGATTTCGCAGTACAGTATCTGCTGAGGGCATCTTCTGAGCCGACTACAGACACGCTGCAAACAGCTCTGAAAACCTCTAAACCCCTCAACGCTCTACATAATGGGGATAGCAGGGAATAAGGAATTGTTACATAGGGATTATATAGGGATCATATTCCCGTCTTCCCTACTAACCTCCAGTAGGTCTAGGCCCTTCCGCAAGCCTTTTGGTCTCCAGCTCCAATGGCTTCGCAGCCGCGCTCGCACAACCTCTGAAGTACTCCCCTCCCCCTAATGTTAAACATCCCCGTGCCCCCCAGTATTAAATACTCCTATATGTTGTAATATCACGGGGGTGGGGGGTTTAATCTTAGGAGGAGGGGATTACTTTGGACTCACAAACTTTGGGCGTAGCGGTCTGGAGTATGAAGAATTTGGCACAGAATCTGACGAACTGCAAAAACCCGCTCTTGAACCGTACTGCAATACCCTTGCAAATCCAACAAGCACGCCACGCAAAACTGTCCAGGCTTTCCAGGGGTTATATTACGGTTATATTGAGGTTACATAGGGATAATGGAAAAGAAAATGGAAAATGCTACAATGGGGTTATACAGGGGTTTAGGGTCCATGGTCTTAGGGTTAGGGGTTTAGGTGTACTGCAAGGCTCAGCAGACGTAGAAATTGGTTTAGTTTGCCTCTAGGTTCTGGACGATGCTGAGTATCCCGGCAGGTCCCCGGCACCGAATGACCGCCACTCACCATAGTAGGCCAAGTCAGCAAACCTTGCGAACTCACTCAGAGATCGTGCTGTTGCTGGGGTTTCTCAGGTTCTAGGTGTCCAATGTGTCCCTATTGTCTGAGCACCAGAAGTAACAGGATCTGTATCTGGGCCACCTCCCACCTTGTTGTTTGATAGCATGTGACATGTCTGATTCTCGCAGTCAGCAAACCAAATCCCTGGACAAACAAGGCCCATGCTCTCGCACACTTACTCGATCTTCAAGAAGGTGGAAGAGCTTCCTCAAAGGGCTCAAGCTTTGGTCTAAAATCTAAAACAACGCAACAATCTGAGTCCAGGTCTGCTCGTCTTCTGTGAGTGGCGGTTCCTTAGAGACCATGACATGCAGCTAGTATGAGCTGTTCTAGGAAACATGCAAAAGAGCCTAGGCCTTCGGACCGCCCGTTCCCGCTACCAGGCACCCGGCTGGCTGCTCACCTTCCCCCATTAGCTGGAGAATGTTGACCACGACGTATACAAAACACCAACCAGCCTGGCACAGAGATGTTACTGTTACAGCATAGCAGGTGTCCCAAATAGCTACACGCACGCAAAAAATCACCAGACGTCTGCGGAAAACCTGCAGAGGCGTACCGAAAGCCATTGACACTGGGGCTGGAGCCTTTGTGCAAGAAGGCGCTCACGCTCACTTTAATGGCCAACTGGAACACATCAAGGTAGCCAGGCCCGAGACAGCTGAAAGAGTACCACCATGCCGCAACCAGAGATGGCCCAGATGCGCAGCCACCAAATGTCTGTGACCCCGTACCTTCTGTCCAGTTGCATTATCATAGTATAATCGTGTAGATTACATCATAATCGGAATTACTGTCCAGCTACAGATTTCCTGTATGCTTTGCATCAGGCAACTCAAGATGGAGGATACCTGAGGGCTGAGCTCAAACATGCCCATGACGTATCCAGCATTGCCTAGGCACTTCAGTGGGGCGGTGTTCTCTAGAGCCCTCGATATCCCCCAAGCCATGCATGGGATGGTCTCATTCAGGCCTGCAATCCTGCTTGGAGATCCATGAGTACTTACAAGTAGGGTCATAATCTGAGTAGGCCTACTACGACAATCATAACCCTATTCAGGTTACCTATGGGTCTGCTTATCACTACATGAGGTTCCAAGTAGGGCTGGATACAACCAACCTCGGGTCAGATCCAGATTTGGGGCCAGCTTGCTTGTGCGGGGACCTTTGGGGGCTCCAGTTTAGGGTTTCGGGTTTGATGTAACCATAGCATGAATAAAGGGGGTGACAATAGCGTTTTGTTGCTGGGCTGGAAAAATCCGGCACAATCAAATTTGCTTTCAAACAAGTTTGGAGCCCGACAAGGTCTACTCAAGTCCAAATCGCAATAATAAAGGGGTGGCAATAATGTTATTGTCCGGCCGGAAACGTCCCGATTTTAGCAGATTCCCTTCTACTTGTCCTACTAGTCTTACGAGCTGCAGCACCTGGTCCTACCCATGCCCCATCATTTATTATTGCAACCCCCTCCCTTCCGTAAGCCCGGATGGCAAAACAAGTTCTTTAGTGCGGGAGCTAGAAGACCCAGACATGCTTCACCAGTGACTACCCGCCATAATGAACCAATGTCTTCCTGGCGCTGACACACGTCTGGTAGGTTATCAAAACTGTGGTCCCCATTTGGGGTCTCTAGTACAACACGGCCCCATAAATCTACGCGCACCCAAAGAGAGACCATAATCTTGACAGCTCTCCCCACATATCCGAGCTTGCGAGCTACGCTGGCTTGCAACAAGTGGGCATTTCCCGCAGGATTATATCTCAAAATACTCGACTCTAATCCTTACCCCGAGACTCCCACAGAAAAGACTCGAAATTTCTGGAAACCTTCAAATGGTAGTTTCGTTGAACAACAGGGGCCCCCAACAACTCCCCCCAATTTTGGGAAACCTTCGAATGCACATCAGGATCAGGCCAATCGTGGTGCTGATCGGGCCGAGCACTGCGCCATGCCGCAGGACGAACCTGCAAACACGCGGTCAAGGTTGACGGTTTGTTCAATCTTAGGGCTTCACGATTCATAAGCCAGATACGATGGACCAGATCGACTATGGTCCTCATGGGTTGGTAAGGAGATCATCTAGGGCTCAAGATTTAAATGCTGAAGCAGCAAGGATAAGTAATATTGAATTCAAAAACCATCATGACTGGAGGATTCAAGCATTAAGGGCTAGCAGAAGTACTTACAAAGCAGGGCACATTCATACAATTTCCGAAAAGAAAGTGTCCAAGCAAAAGACACGACAAATACATGGCTCTTCAGTTTGATTTTGAATGCCTTTTCTCAGAAGACTTTACGTCTTGCTTGGCGGGTTTCATGTGGGGCTTTTGTTCACGGCTTTCATGGGATCTGTATGTTCAAGTGCTGGCCTTGGCCTGCACTAAACTCTAAACCTGAAACGCCTCACTTGATTGAGCCTTCTCAAGCATGTTGCCAGGATGGTCGGTTACCGACATCAAAACGCCTTTCCAGTGATACTTCTCTTTTCGGTCCCGAGAAGAATGCCTGCTACTTGTCGGGGAATACGGTACCTCACAACTGGAATACCCTAAGGGTCCAAGTACCCAATAATCATATACTTCCCCAAAACCTGTACTACAATTACTATTACCCAAATCCTAAGTACCTAATTATTGGGTACTTGGACCCTTAGGGATAAGGGGTGCGACACAGAAAGCAACGCCCGGCCTCAGTCGAGCATGAGCCAAGCGAGATCCCACGGATTGAGGTGCTTGTTCCAGCGGGCTCTGCTCGGAGGCGCAATGCCTGGAATGTGACACTTCACTCTCTTGAAGAACTTGCAGGATTGAGCATCAGAAGCTGAAATTGTCCATACTGCTATACATATGGGTGGTTGTCAAAATTATGGTCCCTTTTGGGCACCCTAAGTATTAGGGGCCGTATTATAATAGGGATCCAAAAAGGGACCATAATTTTGACAACCATACATATCGGCTTATATCGGCTTGCGCTCCCAATACCCCGCGTGGATGCACTTGGTCGGGCCTGAGCTGTGAGCTGCACACAGAAGGAAATCGCCGCAAATGGCGATAAGGCCTCAGGCGTCATGCCAGGCAACCTATAGTCCCCCTTAAGTAGATAGAATATGGCTTTGGGTATATTATAATAAGATCCCCATATACCCCATATTCTATCTACTTAAGGGAGACTATACACAAAAACAGAACCGAAGTCCAGGCTCCGGCAGGAGTGTCAGCCACGACACCATTGCTTGTGCAGCCAAGGCGTCATTCTAAATACAGAGGCTCTTGCGCCATGTGCCCGGCTGAAGAAGGAATTGGGAACTGTGCTAATTTCAGGAACTTACTGGTGAAGACAGCAGACGAAATCATGGTATGCCTGCCAAGCACATGACCACTAAACCTTGAACCAACAGAATGAGCGCATATGACATCGGCAATTGCACCCAGCCGCTTCATAGTCTTATAGAAGACAAATGCCGCCTGCATGCGAACAACATGCTGGCAGGCGGCAGGAAGACAGTGCTTCTTGTATGTGCATACACATATTGGACGAATAGATGTCGGTGTAGCGTCCAGGAAAGGCCAACGATTTGGGTTTCGATTGCTGTTTTCGTCTTTTCGTTCTACGCAATCGATCAGGAAACGGAAACAAGAAGGACTCTCAGTGAATCGAGCATGAGATTGCTCAATACTGATGTCCATGTGACCTCGCTGGGCCATAGCCCGCAACTGGCTCCAAAGCCATGCGCCATGCTGCGACAGGTCAGCGCAGGATCAGTGAGTGCAAAAGGCCTCACGGCCCCGACTACGAAGCATGGTCACGTGCATGCAAAGTCGCAGCTCCGTTCAAGTTCCGCAGTTTCTTTGACCACGGTTGGATTTTCAAGAAACGAATCTGACAAAGAACTAACCGCGTCCAGCAACAGATGTCAAAGCCATCTAATTGAGAATCTGCGAACAAGTGTGCACCAGTCCGCAAAGCTACGCTTCTAGGCATCAGCAAATCCCGTCAGCCCCAGACGTCGAAGATCACCCTGCCTTGCTCCTGGGCAGTGCGGTTGAAGGTACTTTGCTACGAGAGACTATAGTCTATAGGCAGTTGAGTTGGTTCCTGGGATATCGACCTCGAAATTCAACGCAGACACATGGGTGGTTGTCAAATTATGGTCCCTTTTTGGGTCCCCTAAATTAGGCCTCGTATTACAATAGGGACCCAAAAAGGGACCATAATATTGACAACCACCCACATAATCTCAAGAACCAACAGAAAGAACTTGCTCCTGGAGCTCAGTCAGCTTGGTGAAGCCACGGGAGGCATCACCATTTTCGCCTGAGCAGTTGGCAAACCCCACAGTGGAGGAGCCCCAAAGAATTGATCATGCTACTTATCATCCCTGCTCCCCTCCCCCTAATATTACACCTCCCCACAATATTGAATACGCCCAATATAATATCAGATATTATATACCACCTAATGGGAGTTTTTAATATTAGGGGGGGGGGATGGGGCGGGGGGGGGGGTATTTTTTAGGTGGAGGGGATTATCATCCCCTCCATGCCGGAATTGCAAGTGGGCTGCGGCTGCCTGGCATGAGCCCTATTGATCAAGCCTGCCTCCCTCCCCCCTTCCCCCCCCACGGGGTCCTATTGCTGGGTTGCTGCCAAGGAACTTAGACTAGGTTACCTTAATCTGGGTATGTACTGGTAACAAATGATAGGAGTTCCGCACTGTAGTAACTTCATCTAAATTCGTCAACAGCAACCCAGATTGAGAGCTATGCATGCATCACCTTGCCAAGCCGCTCAGCATGTCAACCAAAACGTTCGTCACATCCTTTGCCAGCGTCGACGCACTGCCGCAGATGTAGAAGTACCCAGCGCCATCTCCATCCCCCAACAACCTGAGGATGTCCAAAGAGTTCTTCCGGAGTGCATGGTAAACATACTCTTTGGTACTGCCATCGGTCGGCCGCGACAGCGACACCTTCAACGAGCAAAGCCCATCTCTGTGCCACTGTTCAAGCTGCGATTTGTGCAAGAAGTCTGTGTCATTCCGGCAGCCAAAGTAGAGGTGCACCAGCCCTGTTTTTGTGCCTTTCTTTTTGCAAACCTCTCTCTCTTGTAAGAAACCCAGAAATGGAGCAACTCCAGTGCCACCACAAACGCAAGCAATTGGCTTGCTAGGATCTGGCGGGAGTCGCATGTGCGGCGCTTCCTTGATCTTGCAGATCACCGACTTGGATGCTGCAAGCATGGACGAGCAGATGCCCTTGCGGATGGCTTCCGGGCTGTTTGTAGGAGAGGCCGTGTAAGTAGCCACGCGGCAGCATAGCTCCACGTTGCTTCCCCTTGCCAAGGGAGAGGAGGCAATGGAATAGAGGCGTGCCTGCAGTTTTGGAGACACCTCCACAAATCGGCCAATGCCAACCTGCAGAGAGGGGTATTCGTCCAATATGTCTAAGATGGAGAGGCATCGCTTGCACCAGCGCTCGTACTCGGAGTCTTCTTTCATGACGGTTAGTAGCTTCAGCTTGGCAGCCTTCGAGCAGGCAACTGCTTACAAGGCATTCATTTGTGCCAAGCACTCCCTTGTGAACTACAACAGCCACAGCAAGATGAGCATGAATGAACAGGAACTCAGCATGAACCCATGGGCCAGCACCATACCAGTAGGAAGCAAATCCAAACCGTATCGAGAGCGATACCACTAGCACGTGCAGCTGTCTAGTCATTTGGGATTTTCTCCAAGGAAGTAGAGGTACCTTGGGTGCCTAGGGTAGATCATATAGAGATTGTACGGATTCTAGGTTCCCCAGGAAGGTTAGACAGGGACTGGTTTGGAAAACGTCCATTTCGCCTCGGTGGCGCTTGTGACGTGTGGGAGCAATGAAGCCAAGGCTTCCTGGGATGGAAGCGCTGAGAGGTCCACGTAGTAGGAGAGGATGTCACCGATGGTGATGGGTTCTCCTTGGCATCGAGATCTTCTCATCTTGTTTTTTTGCTAATGGCACGGATGCTCTGCATGCTCTACGTAACCGTCGTAATATTTCGGAATGCTACCATGCAGTACCCGTAGTCCTGCTATAGCCCCAACAACGGCTTCACCTTCCACGGCACTGCGGAGCAAGCCGAGGCTCCGCAGGGAAGCTCCTCGTCGACCTTCTCACCCTTCACGGTTACCACGGCATCTGCCTGGACACCGAGGCGGTGGCAGCACCGCAGCACCTGACAGAAAGAAGGTGACAGCGCAACAGGGCACCGTGTCTTCCGAGGGTCCAGCCTGTGCTTCCGAATTCCTGCAGCTGCGTGGGGGAAACACCGCAGCAGACAAATCATTGCTGCTTGCTTTGGGCTCTGGACTTCACTACACTTCCGCTCTCCTCGGCCGGACTTCCAAGTGATCACCGCAGGCGTAGGAACAGCCGCCAGGTCGGTCGATGACTATCTGCCGGACCGAGGGGCTGCTAGCATCGCTCTGCATGCAGAGCTCCTGAGAAAATTGCAGGCATCCCAGCACGTGACTTCAAGAATTACATGCGCATGGCCTCATTGATGCTGACAGTGCAGGTCTGGTATCCCATCCTGGGCATGCAAGGAGGGTTGACTTCATATGAAGTTTGATGCAGGGCTCCTGTCCATTGCTATCGTGAAGCTTTTCCGTGAAATTCGCTTGCATCGTGGTGGCCGGAGACCCACCGGATGTTTCCAATTTGAGCTGCTCAGCCATGGCCTACACAGCGCACATGTTGCTTCAGACGTGGAACATGGGTGAACATGGACTCTGTTGGCCGGCCTCCGCATAGGACTCTCCTTCTGCTTCCCTGACAAGCTCTGCAGGCGAGCTTGCAAACTGTGTGAAGATCACCTCCGAGCGAAGGCATGCGGCAACAGAGAAAAACTGTCGGGGAGCTTTGTAAACTTGCCCAGTCAAACATTCTGCCAAATCTTCTCCTGAACAGTGGTATGCCCACAGCACCTCAACAGCCCTGCACTTCTCAAAACCATCTGGTTGAACTGTGGACGTCCTCACTTCCTACACATACATCCTCACCATGACCAGGCCTTTCGCCACGTTCGAAGCTGCCTCTCAAAGGCATCGTTCTTGTCGGCAGCCTGCACTTACGGATCCACGTAACTGGTTCGTCCTACGCGTGGCCATGGTGGCACTCTCATTCTCGGATCACTTTTGTGGCCTGCATTTTGGGATGTTGTGAAATAGCTTTTCCAGCAGAACTGGCCATTCAACGGACTATCCCATAAGGACAGTTCTTGTGCAGCTACTCCATGTTGCTGCAACTTGTGCTGAAGGGGCGGTGTTCCCTGCCTCTGGAAACTCCCCTCTAGAACCTGAGTATCCCAAACTATGTCATCTGCAATCCCTTCATGGTCCTTCTGCATTAACTTCATCGCACTTCATAAGCTGATACGGCCTGGTATGCCCAGTTCTTAAGTTGAGAGGATCCACCTTGCAGGCACCTTCAAGTCAAAGCAGGGTCCCTTAAAACTCTTCACAGCCTAAAGCGAAATCCGTCTACAAAGGAAGGCCCCAAAAGGGACTGATATCCAGTCATGCTTCGAAAACGGAAGCGCCTCCAATGGCAGCATCCTATTAGCACCGGCACGGATCAGACCCTTCTCCACGTCCTTCGCGGCCTGCTTCAGGTTGTTGTAGTACTAGCACTAGTACGGGTACTAGTACTGAGTTGTTGTATGCTAGTACTACTACTACTACTACTACTACTACTACTGCTACTACTACTACCACCACCAATGCTACTGCTACTACTACCACTACTACTACTGCTACAATTGCAATGACAACAATACTGCAAGTGCACCACCATAATCCGCCACAAGGCCAAGACCCACGACAAGCGCCCGTGCAAGTGTGGTGAGGAGGCTGGTTTTCCCCGATGTGCCTTCACAAACGTAGACACCCAGTTTGAGTTTCCAACCTAAGCTGGCTTTGGAATCCCACCAGGGAAATAATGCATCAGATCTGTAACCCACACACTAAACTGCAACTAGCGAAAAGGGTGACAATGACTTCCTGATGGTTTGTAGGGAACATGGGAATATAGTCCCTGTATAATGCATTATCTTATTCCCTACTAACCGCCAGTGAAATTGTGCTTCTCAGCAACACCGAGCACCGCAAAGCTAAGGCTGCTTGATCCTCAGATTTTTCACGCAGCATGCGGATGAAGCGACACAACGTTTAGGGACCCTGAACCCTAAATCCTAAACGCTGATAGGGTGTAGGATGGTGTAGGGTATACAGAGGCTACCCTTGAAAAAAGATCATGGAGATTCAGGAACACCACTGCGTGAAGAATCCCTGCGGTCAGGGCTCATGCTCAAGCCAGGACGTCCACTCACGATGCTGAGGATCAAGGGCTCTGATGACTTTGCAAAAGAAAAACAAGGCTTGTATGGCTTTGAAAGCTTCGAATGCGTGGGCCAAGTCGCCCTCCTCGGCTGCTGGGACCTCAGCCAACTCCTTCAGGAAGCTGGCCGCGTTCCTGATAGCAGGGCTTGTGGCAATCGCCGGCAAAAACCCAACAGAGAAAAGACGCTGCCTAAGGTGGGCGGTTGCCCTTAAGGATACTCTGTTGGCTCCAAGCATCGGTGGCGGATGGCCATTGTACCTGAGAAGTGACCCAAGCGAATAAGTAGTACCATTTCGCGTCCAAGGCTGTGCTCACATCCCCAGTGACAGGTCGTGTTGTGTGGCTCACACACTGATTAAGGCTCGCGGCGTGGCTACCAAGATCAGCACCACCGGCACTACCCCAGACTCGGACTTGACATCTCCAGCCAGCAGAGCAGCGGGTTTCACCTGTTGCTGGTCTCTGTGCATTGCTGCCTACCTACTTGTACTACACACTAACACAATTGGCGAGGTTTGTTGCTTGTGCCCACCTCATCCAGAGCCTTCAGCTCGACAGGAAAGTTGCGCTGCTCGGCCGCCGACACGAAGTCCTGCGCCGCGCTGAGGGTTGTACCGAACTCGCCACCCCACCTGAGAGCTCACGTCCGGAATCTCATGTCGAGGGACAAGCTGAGATTGTGGGATAGCACTAAGGAGAAGTGGTCTATTCCCAAGATACGGGTACCCTAACTCAGACCCCCAAATACTATTATGGGGAACCCCAAAAGGGTACCCCTGATTTTGGGAAACCCCCAAGTGTCCAGAAAAGTGCCTCCAAGGGGCAGAACGAGGAGTGGCGGCCGGGGGCCTGCGAAGAAGCTGCCAACAGCGCTTGGCCTCAGGCCTCGTGAGCTTTTCTCAGGCTCATAGTCCCCCTTAAGTAGGTAGAATATAGGGTATATGGAGATCTTATTATACTATACCCAAAGCCATATTCTATCTACTTAAGGGGGATTATACCCTAAACCCTAAACCCTAAACCATCGTAGTTTCCATTTTCTTTTCCATTATTACAATATACCCCATA